GTAATGAATCGGGCTAGGAACTGTCTCGTCAACTCTTTCCACGATCCAATGCTGTTGGGGGGAAGAGCCTCGAACCACTTCATCGCGGAGTCCCCCAAGCTCATGGAAAACACTCGACAGAGGAACTGTTGGTCTGAATGATACAGGGACATCATTTGCTTGTATTGTCTAAGGTGGGCTTCGGGATCAGACCGCCCATCGTAAGTTTTGAACCTCGGCACGACGAACTTTTTTGGAACCTCTATCTCTCTGATATCTTTGGTAAAGGGTGATTATATGACCTCGTCTTCGACATTATCCTAGACATTCTTACCCTTTCTCCTAGATTCCAACCGAGCTCTAAGATCAATTTCCTCCCCAATGGGATGTCTTCTGAGGTCTCCAGGTTCATTGATGGGGTTCCCTTTTTTTGGACGTCGCGTGAAAAGGGTTGAATCCTCCTCAGATTCGTCTCCCTTCCTCTGCCTTGACAGCCCTCGCCGGAGGTCGTCCAGGGCTAAAGGCCTTACCTTTCTGGAATAGTCATCGAGGGGGTGCTCGTTGGCTCTTGGGCATTTTGGGGCCCTGGAGCCTTCAGCCTTGTTATTTAAATGATTTCTCAGGTCCTCAGTTTCTGCTTCTCGGGCGGGGAGTCCACGAGAAGGGAACGAGTCTCTCGACCCTTCGCCGGAGGTGGCAAATTCGTTGAGCCGGCTTAGGACGTTCACATTGTCTTTTTCCAACTGTCGTAATCGATCCCCAAACTTTTCTTCGATCACCTCCGCCAGTTGACGAGCCAATAGGGCGGATTCTCCTGACCTGATGCCCATACTGGTTTAAGGAGTAAGCCCCCTTGACTGAATAGAGATATTTATGTTGTCATCAGTGTAACCCTTCCCTCCATCATGATGAGGAGCTTACAAATCGAGACTTATTTGCTGGGGACCTTTCCCCTTGTGTCTAGTATTCACCATGATCATTGTCCTTTATAGAGAAGAAACTAGGAAAACTAGTCGTTTTCCACAGACGGCGCCAGATTGTGCGTGCAGGATATTGCACAATATAAACATAAGAACAGATCTCTCCTGTGGTGAACTCGAGTCAGTCAATCGAATAGTCAACCTTGTTGCTTGGAATAGACTGTGAGGTCCGGTGGTGGACTGGAACAATAATGGGTGACTTTCGTGGATCAACGGAGCGGTCCAGTAAGGCTGAGGGAGGTTCCTGGAACAGAGAAAAATGAGTTAGGAGGGCGCCAGAGTATTTTTCGGCGTATCCCCTCCGACGATCAAGTCAGTTCTTTGAGAGAGGGGAAGGAGAAAACACTGTATTTCTTTGAGAAAAGGTTTTTTTGTTGTATACCGTCTTGCCTTTTATGAGGAGTACTTATACCTCAAAAATTCATGATTGCTGTCAGTGTGGTCAGTAGGTGATCATTAGATACGGGCAACGTACGCACTGATTCCTATGAGGAATGTCTTCTCTCTTAACTGCTCGGGACTCCGAGCAACTAATGCTTCATCATCGGCCTGCCGAATGTTTAATGAGCTTCTCTCGGCAAGGATGTAATAAATGCCCAGTCATAGGGACATTTATTACCTTTCATTTTCGAGTCTTCCTGCATTAAATGATGTCTCATCAAGGGAATGGTGCACTAAATGCTTGCTTTTCCAAGTCGTGTGTCAGCAAGGGCATCTCGGTCTTTTTGTCTCTAATCTGACACAATATGTCACGCGCCCATCCCCCATTGGTTGTGTCTTCTGCTTTCTCGTGCCTTCTGACACCAATTGTGTAAGACGAGGTCATGATAGCTAACCTAACCTAGTCTAGGCTAATGACCTGTACATCAATAGCCTCTGCAAAAGCAGAAAACGCCAACCTGGACGGGTACATCTCGGTACCGAAAGAGTGGTACATGTAGGGACCGATGTACCCCATATCCGACCGAGGGATACGTGTTGGTACGTAATGTACTAGGTGTCATTGATCCCTATGAATAGTACCTCGGGAGAAGAGGGACTTGTGAACCGACGAGTACGTGTTGTGATCATAGTAACAAGAATATACTAATGTCGAGGACACGTGTCTTCATCTTAAAATATTTAAAAATATCTCATCAGTCACTAAATATCCTGGCGAAGTATCTATACTTGCACTAGGACTGCTGACAAACTTGGCTTTGGTAAGTTCTGGTATCCTTTCATTTCAGGTCCATCTAACAGGATTCCTCTGTTTAAGTTCTCTGTCGCATAGCTTTTGCAGTGCAATAATGTTGAAATTTTTGCATTAGGTTGTCAAAAGGGACTCGTCCTTTGCAAGCAAGGTGAAAAGAGTGGTCATACTTGGTGGAGCATTCTGTGCTTTAGGAAATGTCAATCCAGCTACAGAAGCAAATGTATGGGATAAGTGTTATTACTTCTCTGTCCCTTAATGTGAGAGTTGATGTGCATTACTTAATTGTACATATCACTCTTAGATATAGTAATCTTCTTGAGATTTGTAAGTTAATTGTCGAATCCTCAGGCTCCTCCTATTTCAACATAGATCATTTCTTAGTAAAGTTAGCTTTGCTGTTCTCTATTACACATGCCTTGAGATTCAAATTCATAATTTTTTGTCTAAATTGTTTAGATTTCATGGGGGATTTTTACTACCTTAATCTTGAGATGTATCTACAAAAAATTGGGGCTAGACCTTTACAGACCAGTTATGATTGTTGTCTATCAATATAAAGTTATGAATACATGTAAGACCTAAAGCTTTTTGGTTTTTGAGCCACTAGGATGAGAATTCATTTTGTGGAGCAAAACTTCAGTTACCTGGAAGAGTTCGAGTATGGTGTCCACTATATTAGTGTGGAGCTTGATATTATCTGCAATAGGATTTAGTTCAAGGTTTTTAGTTAAAACCATTTACAATTAATCCCCCCGTCTCTCTCTCTCTCAACCAACACCTAAACAAACCCAAGAAATCAAAAGATGCAAATAATAACAAGAATAGTGATAAATGATAATAAAGAGAACAGAACTGAAAATAGTCCTTCTGACTTGCAAATCTATGGGGACCTTGAAGCAGCAACAGATGTTGTGTTCATCTCTGGGGCAAATATTGTTGTTGGCATAAATATTACAGCACAAGTCATATTGACACGTGCTATCCCACCTCTATGTTTTCTTATTTTCATTCTTCCCCAATTATTGAACTGTCCTCTGAAAAAATATTCTTTCTTTAAAATATACTCGCTTATTTTTTCAGACACTGACCTTTTCGAATTGAGATAGTCTCAATGAAGACATGCTCAATCTATATGCGACATGTGCAAATTTTACCGTGACTGGCATGTGAAGTTTGATGGCGTCTACGGTATCATTCTCTTTATAGAAAATGATCCTAATATATTCATGTTTCATTTATTTTTCTTTTTCATATGTTTTGATTGAGTTAATGAATCAAATTTTTGTATTGATGAATTTAGAAATTTTCCTTCATGACCCAGTCTATTTTGTGGCTCTAGTTCGGCCTGATTTATTCACATACAAGAAGGGCGTATGACAATGTATGGTACATAGATTTATAATTTTTTTTTTCAATTGTATTTGTTTTGACTTCTAAAAAGTGGTTAACACATGTGGTTGTAGATTCATCCAAAAGTAGACCTGCTTAGTTCTCATTTACCAAGACAAGTAGTGGCGAAGGGGATCCTTGTTAGTGTGGACCCATCGAAAAAAGTAGAGAGATTATTATTGAGACCTAATTTTTTGAACGTATATGTTGAGGAAGCAATAGTGTCTAATACTTATTTGATAAAACTTTTTCCTGGTGTAATTACTGTTGGGCAAGCAATGAAAAAAAGTGTTGCTTGGTCATCTAGTGATGTATTTTTTATCTTAATTAATATGTATATAATTAGCAACCAAACATATTATTGACAATAATAACACAAATCGTATCTTTTGTAGGTGCTATCAAATGAGTAGATAGTGTAGAGAGTAGATGACGCATAGATAGAGAGTGCATATTGTGCATAATTAAAAAGCAAATGGTGCATTGGGAGACTAAATTTTTTTATTATGCATTGACACTTTCATTATGTAGTTTGAAATATTTTGTTTTTAAAATTTCGGATGCTATTTACTTATGCTAAATTTATTTTTGTGTAAATTTAGATGCTTTTTTTTTTAGAGATATGCCTATTACTTTAATCAAATGATATGAGTTTTTTTGGGACGGAAAATTGCTGATGCAAACAAAAAAAGTCGGATATGTGATTTTTTAGTGACGACACATTTGCATCGGGTTTTGCTGATGCAAAAATTTTTGTGACGGTTAATTGCCGATGCAAAATCTTTTACATCGCCTATTGCTTGCCACCCCTAATTTGCAGAATCAAAAAATCACGTTGTCATTGTAATTTGCAACGACAACATGATCTTTTGAGTCGCCAAATTGCTGATGCAAAAAACTCATTTTCTTGTTGTGCAACCTGACCTTAACGAAATAAGGATGAGCACAACCATTCCACCAAGTGAAGGGACATCCTTTATAACCTAAATCACTCATCATTAACACTTCGAAAGTTGTTGAGCTGCCATATAGATATGTCGTTACCCCTATCTTCTCATTATTGGACACAATCTCATTGAAGTCTCCTGTGCATACCCAAGGTAAGTCTGATCTCAGAAATAACTTTTGCAACAGTAACCAAGATTGTTTCCTTTGGGCTACTGTTGGAGGACCATAAAAACCTACAAACCTCCCTGGTCTTCCCTGGGTTTCCTCAATGATAGCTTCAATATAAAAATCAGAGAAACTTTTAATAGAAACCTGAAATCCTCTCTACCACAATAATGCTAAGCCACCACCTCGACCTCTTGCATCCACTATCAAGCCTTGTGAAAGTCCAATACTCTGTTTGACACGCTCCATCTCCTTTGTATTTAACCTAGTCTCCATCAAGAATTCTAGGTTGGGATCTTTCCTCTTCACAAGATTGTGAAGCCTTCTAACTGTCCGAAGATTCCCAAGCCCTCGGCAGTTCCACAACACACCTACCATGACTCCCGATGGGACTGATTAACAGTCTCCACCGATTGTAGAACAGAGTGAGAGTCAAAGAATTCATGAGATACCTTTTTCTTTGGACAATGATCAAAGAAAACCAGAAGCTCATTTTCCTCCCTTTTCCTCTTCAAATCAGAACCTGCTTCCTTGATCATCCAATCTTCCTTCGGAGGGGGACCAACCTTCTTACGATTACATTTCCTTTTTCCTTTATCCACCAGTGGAGCCCTAGGAATGGATTTATAAACAGAAACATTCGCAGCAACTGATCCTGGATTAGACATCACAGGGCAATTAATAATTATGGACTCCTTCGTTTGTTTGAGCCTACCCAATTTTTTATCATTGGGTGGTCCAATAAGTAGTTAAGTGGAATTAAGAACAATATGGGCCAAATTATGATTGAACCCACAACAACCTCTGACTCATCCTTATGATTAACTTGAGACAAAAACGAGTGCTTCTGGCCTTGACACCTCATCTCCCCCATGCCCTCTCGCCTACCATCATTCAAAGGAATATTTGAATTGAGTAATGCTATACTGATCAAATTTTGGAATTAATTTTAGAGCTTAAATGACATGGCAACTGACTTGAGTTTCTTTATTTGTTGCTATGTCATTTGGGCCCGAATAAAGACTCCAAGTAATATATTACCAAGTCATTTGAGCTTAAAATTTGATTCCAAAATTTGATCAGTATAGCATTACTGATTTGAATTTCTTAAAGAAGAACTCACACCCATCAAATTAGGAATGGAACCAACCATGTTACCCGTAATGCCCTCCTTCCTAATATCAAGCAACTCTTTGCTTAGATCCCTCCTAAAATAATGAATAATTTTATTTTTGATTAGGGACGAACTATATCCAATAGAAAGAAAATTAATCTCAACTAAGTTGACACTTACTCATTTATTTATCATTTACATTACTCTACCTTTTAAAACTTGTATGCTTAATACATGAAAAAGAAAATAATATATTATTTATAGTATCTAAATTTTTAAAACTTCAAATTTTAACATTGGGAGATTTATTTCAAAGTTTCAAATTTAATGGTCTAAAGTATAACCGTCAATAACCCGGTCTATGGACACCCCCTAGTCAAATTGACACCTCTAGAAGCAAGGGCATACCCTTACTAGCAAGGTTTAAAATTTTGTTTAAGTACATGGTTTCGGTTATTGCAGACACAAAAAATAATTAAAAATCTTTCAAAAATACAATAGATCCAAAGGAAAAAATTTAAAAAATTTGATTTCATTCAAAAATATATCAAACCATGAGTATTTTGATTTACTCTGATGGATAATTTTATTTGCACCAAATTTGTACACCAAAATTTGTCCCAAATCAACTATAATCGTTGGATCAATGGATCCCCCCACTAATCCATGACTGTAAATGATTTGATACATTTTTTTTGTGGAAATCACATTGCTCGAGTTTGACCCTAATTGCTTTTCAAATTTGGTTGGATTATTATAAGAGTAATACTATTTAGATTTAAAAATTTGACATAATTTGTTGACATAATGAAGTGGTTTCAGTAGCACTATTAGATCAACACTAAGTTCCAATGTTTGATGAGTCTTACAATTAATTCAAAGATTATAATGAATTAAGTTAACAAATTAAGTCAATAAATTAGATTCTAGTAGCATTGCTCTTATTATAATAATGCATCATTGACTTTTTTAGAAAAGAAAAAAAGATTTCAAAATTGTCTGCATATGTAATTATGCATTAATTAGTACTTTGGGAATAAATAAATCTCCTCGTATCTTAATGACCCATTATTAATGGATGACAATGATATTTAATTCCAATGCAACCTTTTAAGATTTGACTAAATGAAAAGGTGGACCAGGGGTGCATTCAAAATACTCTATTTAATAACCCAAAAAGTTTGTAGAATTTAACGTTTTTTGGGGCCCTTTTCAGCACCTGAAGATGTTAATGATGGTGAGGCAAAGTGTACATGCCATTGCCATTATTGCAGGGCCATACTTATCCAAGCGTGAGCAATGATTGAAGATAAAATTATAAAATTTTATTTTTTTAATATCGATGAAAATATACTAAATCATAAAAAAATATCTGAAAATATAAAAAAAATATTTAATATTTAATTATGTTTTTTTTTTTTTTTTTGATTTTGATTGAACTGAAATGTTTTATTTAATCCTTATCTAAGATATAAAACCTAACTTTAATCATTCGGTCGCTGAATTTTTTCTTCAAATAACACTTTTGATAAAAAAAAAATTTGAAACTAACAGTCCTTTGAATCTAATTCCTCCTCTAAGTGGTTTCAGCAATAATGTGGCATAATAACCTTAGAAGAGGAATTAAACTTAAAATAGTGTTAATTTGAGAATTTTTTTTATCTAAGGTGTAATTTGGAGAAAAATACCATTCTTATTCTCGATTCTTTAAAATTAAAAAGTAATTAGTGTTCGTTGTATCTAAATGACCCACTAACGTATGACTATGATGTTTAATTCTCAACTTTTCAGATTTGACCTAATGAAAATGGAGGCCAGGGGTGTGCTAATGGACAATTATAATATTCGGTGCTCATACATACCAAAAAATTACGGCAGTAATATAATTTTTTTATAAAAAAATTAATTATGACAATTTTTATAGGTGACAATAAATAGCTAATTAAAATATATAATATATTTTATAAAAATATGTACCACCAAGTGACACTACCACGTGGTTGACTTGTGACCACTAATAATTTTCTCGTGCTCTCACATTTTCCAACTCCTGAAGTTCGTTGAATTTGCCGTCTTTTTGGGTCCTTTTGTAGCACTGAAGTGTTAACGATGATGCAAAGGGTAACAGATAAAATTATGATGCTGTCGGCAATATGATATCCAAATATACTCTCACTCATTAATTTTATTTTAATTTATATATAATATAATTAAAATAATTTATATTTAAAGATACGAGACAATATGAATAATTTTAACAGAAATGTTATTGATCATTAGATAAGTGTATTTGAGATCGTAAAATAAATTTATTAAAATTTATTCTATTTTATGTTATAAATTATTTATTATAAAATAAAATTTTTTATTTATATTTAATTATAATTAATAAAAAATAAGAGATACGAGATAAAAAAAAAATAAAAAATTTTGAGTTCCCTAGTAAAGTGTAAATGGCAGTGCTATTATTGTAAGAGGCCATCAATGAGATGCTTCTCCCACTTACTAGTTAAGAAGTCAACTCTCTTCCCCTGCCCACTGCTTTTTGTTCTCTTTTGTCAATATCTTTTTTCTCAACCTTTTTATTCTATTCTCTCTCTGCGTGTGTACTCTCGTTCACCTTATCATGCAATGTCTGCTATCTTGCGCCGTCCTTCCTTTAAATTTCTTTCCATGGGTAAAGTTAGCAAGTGGGCACCCTCGCCACCCTTTACGTGGACTTTTGTTATAATGTGTTACTTATTTTATTATTTTTTTTAGCTGCTTAAGAAAAAGAGGATAAGGAAGAGCATCCAGCGATCACTCTAATAGACTCTCACCGGTAGGATTATAAAGCCCCTAATCGTGCTTGAAAATCTCTTAGGACTAGACATAGTTAGACTAATATAACGACCAATTACCAAGCTCCAATAAGAACTCCAAACTCGTGACAAGGTTTGAAGATTATTTAAGTTTGGATCAACAATATAATAAATTATATTTTTGAAAACTTAAATGTATCGTATGTGTACTATTGAGAAAAAAATTTAAAAAATATATATTAGAGATAATTTGGATCGATAAATATAATAAATTAATAATTGTCCGTGTCTAAAGGCACAACGTAACAAAAAATTAGATTAAAACTCGAAAAATACTACATTACCTACAGATTCTTTACAACCTAAAACAACATATCTATAGAACTTACAATCAAATATAAGAATTATCAAAATTTACCATACTCCCACAATAATTAATACATACTCAATCATCAACACATATCTAACCACCAAAATATTAAGCTAGTCCATACTAATTTCAAGAAATTTTGGCAGAATTTCCTTTAAAAATAGAAGTCCAAAAAAATATAAACCTGTCAAAAAAATTTACAATCATTATAATACACCATATCACCACAATCATCATTTCATATCTAAAATCATCATAACCATGTATAATTAGTTAACTTTACAAAAGACGGAACATAGAAAATACGCATATGCACAAATAGAGAAAAAACTTCATCTTCTTTAAGTTTATACCAAGTATCCTTTAATGTATACTTGAAAATATTTGAAATATAAAATTATCGAAATATGTGAGGCAAAATAAAACAAGTGGTTACAAATGTGTGTGTGTTTGCGCATGTATTGTGTGTCTGCATAGGAAGTAGAGAAATATAGAGATCCTCCGTATGAGAGACTTTCACACCTAGACAATTGTTTGATCAGTGGTGGGTTAGTCATCGTCAAAGGTGGACAGGTCAGTACTGGATTACAGATCGTTTGAGTTTTCTTAGAGATATTGTCATCTTTCAATAACTCTCCTAAATGTCTTCTTCATCCCTTTAAACATTTTCTTCATCACTATCCTTAATGTCCTCATATCAATACGAATGCACTTTGTCCAATGGGGAGAATGCACAATCACCTAAATTATTCACATAAACAATAAAATTAACACATATATATATATATATATATATATATATATATATATATATATATATATATATATATATATATATATATTATAGGAATAGTAAAGTTATTTTGATGTAGTGACGTAAGAGTAAATTTACTTGATTACGTCGGCCCAATCCACAAAAGTTCATTATATATACTCTATCGTTCTCTTTGACAAATTTACTCTAATCCCACAAAGAATGAACGTCATTGTAAAATTAAAAGTTGAAATGTTGAAAAGATTACATAATTTAGTAGAAATAAATTTATTAAACTATACCATTTACTTGTCGTAAGAATCTTATAACAAAACTTCTAGGTAAACAATATTTGTGGTATAATTCGACCCATCTTCCAGAAAGAGGACAGTATTACGATCCAAAAATGTGCATCTAGATAGTGCCACATAAAAGTGTTAATGACTAAAAACAGGTGTTCGCAAATCAATCCCAACGAACTTGACAGATTGCCATAGTATAAGTTAATCGGACAGGAAACTGACGTCTTGTCATTCGAAAAGACAAGTCCAAAGATGTTGGTGTCAATGATATTCTCAGAATGAAGACCAAGTTGTCAATTTTATCTCCATTTAATATTTGAGTTTTGATTACTCTTGAGGCACATCTAATAACAATCATCAATTACGTGTCATTACAAAGTTTATTTTTCGGTACAATATTTCGTAACAACATTATTGAGCATTCAACTTTCAACTTTAATTTAAACAGTGGCAACCCTAAAGGATTTAGCGAGTTTAAGTACTCATTAGGATATCGATTCCTAGTGGTACGATTAAGTTCTTCACCTTCAAAC